GACTTCCCTTGTCATAATAGTGGCCGTGAAAATTGTTAGAAAAACTTGGTAAGGGCAGTAAAAAAAAATTACTTAAGTGTATGTGTTAGGTGATAAACTGCTGAGTAGTTATACTTGCTGAAATCTGGAGCTGTTTGAAACACTTCATTGTATTTAAATGTAATTCTTTGGTTTTAAAATGGGAAAGAAATCTATTGGACCTTTATTGGAAATAACGTGTAAAGACAAGTCTCACATTTTAGATAGTAGATGATCATGTTCTGTATTGCAGTCAATGCCAGTGACTATGTATTGTGAAATATTAATGAAAACTGTCTACAGAATGTTATTATTTTGTAATTTATGTGGCAACAATAGAAGAAAATATATGTGAAGGATAAATATGAAGTATGGTAGAAATGATCAAATAGGAGACAATCTATGCCGCAAAGATTATTTTACTGAAATTCTGTATTTATTTTCTTATTTAACTGTAAAATGAGCCTAAATTCTGCTGGCCAGCAAGGGAGCGTTATTTCTACTGAAACAATATTACAGAATATTGATAATAATTATTTTTCTTTTTTTGACAAATGATGATTTCTCCACTTCACATATTAGTAATTTCATATCAAATTCTGCTTTCACTGTCAGACGTGTAGATTGTTAAGTGTACAGGTGTTCGTATAATTGTGAACGAAACTACAACAATACAGCAAGCCTGTGTGATCCTGTGTTGGCCTAGGATGATGGTTTATCTCTGATCGTCTAATCACAGAAGCAGGAAGTTTGTTAAAGGGTTGCTTGCTTTATCCTCCAACCAGGAAACTAGTGCAATACTGTCCAAAGAAATAATATTCTCCCTTTCAAGTTGTCTGTCTGTTTCTTTAATTGTTTCATATTTAATATCATTGTATTAAAAAATGTGTAACTATCTTATCATGTTTTATCGTTCAGGTTAATTAGTTTGAATGAAAGGTGTTTGTTTTTGTTTTTTCTGAAAACTGTGTCTATGGGAGAGAACACAGAGAATGATACAGACAAAAAACAGTGAGTTAACTTGCAAAATACATTATAAAATGCAGTAACACAGTAATGTACCAAAGTACAGCACCAAGCATAAAGTACCTGCTTTTTTTTTCTCCTACGACAATGGTTGCTTTTTCAGTCCAGACTTTATCTTGACCATTTTCAGAAGAATGTATTTTCGTTTGAGCCACTTAATACTGCCTTATGAGTCTTTTTTTTATTATTTTTTTTTTAAAGGGACCTTACTCAAGGAATTAACCAGTGTTGTGTCCACACGTAACAGATGAGAAACAATTTAAAATTGCATCTTTAGAGACTCTGTTAGGAACCTTTTCCAAAAACATATATTTTTCTTCCCAAAAAATCCCAAAGACCACAGTTTAACAGGCATAAAATAGTATTTTTCTGTAGCATGGTGTGCAGTGTGTCCTGAAAAAAATATGAGGAAACTGGATAGATGGAGGAGAAAGGCAGAAGACGCAGGTCCAAAAAACTATTTGCGTGAAATGAAAGTCATGCTGTTAAGAAACAGGAAGACACAAGATCCGAGAGATGCAAATGACCCTTCAATGGAACCATGTTTGCTGCAGCCTCCTTAGAAATGGTCTCTGGTGACTGTTTCTCAATGTCGTTCTTAAGGAAGGGAAACAAGACATAAAGGCTAACGTAATGGAGGTCAGGAGTGAGTGTCTACACCCACATGTAAAACATAGTGGAGGCTGCATGGTTTGGAGCTACATTTCAGACAGTGGCATTTGGATCGTATTCAAATTGATTGAATTATAAAGATAAGTATTGTATCCACCATGCAGTACCACCTGGAAAGCAACTGATTTGCAATGGCTTAATTATTCAGTGTGACAATTATCCCAAACACACTGCCAGTGTAGCAAAAGCATACTTGGATAGAACACGACACAATGGCACACAATCAGTCATGGATTGGACCTCCCCAGAGAATAGAACAAAAGGCACCCAACAAAGAAGTGCATTGAATGTCCTTCAAGAAACCTGGAGAACTATTCTTGAAGGCTACTTAAAGAAATTACAAGAGAATTTCCTAAGAGATTTCATGCTGTGCTGGAAAATAAATGTGCTCATACCAAATATTGACTTTTAAGCCCACTGGAATTGTACAAACTCTGTTTTTGCCTTATGTTGTTATGTATGCTTGCACATGTTTAACAAGCTTAACCATACACTGAAAACTATATTTCATTCCCATTTTACTAGCAAAACATAAAGAAAATGTTACGGATTCAAATATTGGGGATGGATACAAGAGGAAAAACCAAAAGAACAACACTGGTCCGGCCGGGTTGAGTCAAACGATGATTTTAATGATCACACGCGTGGGAGATGGACACCGTACGCAGACAGCATCAGATCTCAAAATGGTGGAGCATTGATCAACCTCTTATAGCCTCTAGTGGCCCCCACCTAATCATAAAAGCCTGAACATTCACATGCTTTCTCTCACACAGCGCCTAAGCTACGACCTTGGCTCCCTGTTTATCTGCTCCTGCTGAGATGGGGCAGAAAACTCCAGTATGTTCTGTTCTCTTCTAATCAGACAAATAAGGCGATGACTTTCTGCGAACAGTATTTCTTATAACTCAGCAGTATAATGCATCATATAACAATATCATTCATTCACAATAAATCAGCAGTCTAATGTAATGCAAATCAGTTTAACAAATGCACTAGTTATCACCTTCTTCTAATTCAGGAGAATAATGCAAACTAAAACTACATAATAATTCACAATCTTTAATTAGGGTTTTAACATGGCATAAAATAATATTATAATCTCACAAAAACCATGCATGGCTCTGGGCTTTTGCAAAGAAATGACAAGAAACAGAGTCTACATTGTGAAATCCTTTGCACAAATTACTGCATATTCATATCTCCTTTGGGGTGTCATTATAAAGGTAAATAGAGTAGCGGCACTACCGAGCTACATTTATTTCAAAGATAACAAGCAGTGAAGGGGACCTTTAGTCCATTATTAATCTAATGAAAAGAAATCAAAACTTATTGATTTGCTATTGTTTGCTATTTTAGATTTTCTGAAGTCTAAAATGGTCGGCAACAAACACATTGTGCAGAAAGCAACAGCAGGTACATCTTGCATCATACTTTTGCCCTGTGAAAGGAAACTGTCCACCCTGCACATTCATGATGAGTGCACTGATGCAACACTGTCAGGGACTGATTTGCTTGGTTTAGTGTCACTATACAAGGCAATACTGACCAAGCTAATAAATTCACAATGAAAATCCTCTGATTCAAAAGGCACTGTGGGGGGGGTGGGTGTGGTCTAAACCTCTGTAAACGCTGTGTATGGTCACTGTGACTGTTATGTCACTGTAATATCTAATGAAAAAAATAGAAATGGATGCAGAATGTCAATATTCACAATGACATGCAGAATAGATTTATGCAAGATGTCTCAGCAAACAAGTGGTTCACTAAGATATTATGTAAGTGTTTTGTCAGCTTCTACATGCATATCAGATTTGTGATAAACTTATCTTTTGTGGGTAAAAAACAAAGATCTATGTGTTCCTGTGAAGAAATACAATGTTCCCAAACTAAAGATAGATAGACTCTGGTCTCCTAAAGTGGAATGAAATCTTGTAAATCTTATTCTCTGTTTTGTTTTATGTTGTGACTTCTTTGCTTTTGTTTAAGTACTAAGTTTTAGAGATAATAACTAAATCCATCTGGGACTAACAAAGGTACATTCTCACAAAACATAGATGTTGATTATATTAAATAACAGGCCCTGGAGCATGAGAGAGAGAGAGAGAGGAGCATTTTTATTCTAATATAATCAAGTTGTGTTTAGATATAATATCCACAGCATCTGTTCCCCCCCCAACAGTCCAATTTTCATTGGTGGAAATGCATTTCCAGGTTATTCTGGCTGTGTCACCAGGGAAGCGAATGTTCTGATGTACCCACGATAGCAAAACTAATGCAACTTATCAGATTAATTACGCCACTGCTGGTTTATACCAAACTTTAATAATTGTTTCCAGGAAACCCACTTCTCATCCAGTACACTTAAGCCTATGATCAAATACTTAAAAACTAAAATATGGCACTCAATGGGAGCTGCATGGAATTATACAAAACAAACAATACCTTAAATCCGACTATTTACAATGCTTTCTATTTGTTGTCTAACCGGAATTTTTATTAGTCCAGCATACATGCGAGCTCAGCCCCAGCCGGTTAATCCTTGGTGCTCAATTTGTGGCCTGTAACTTGAGAATTCAATTTGAGTTTTGATATTTGTATTGGAAGACAACAATGCTGTATTCTTTTTTAGTCCAAGGCATTAATAAATTCAAGAAGGATGTGTTTGGGTGGAAGGCACCGATTTTCAAACTCTGTGCCACTTTAGAACCCAAATAAATGCTCCCCCTCTCCTCACCTTACAATTTTCACTCAGTCACTGGCAGCTCAAAGCACCAAAATCTACTTTGTTTACACAGTTTGTGCGTATTCAGCTTAGCTTCACTCCATATTTCCCCTTTGGTAGTCTATAATAGATCCATGCCTAAAAAGGAATTCCACGCACAGTTTCAGGAGTAAACAAAATAAGTTTATGATCTCAAAAGGAGTTGTTTTATAGTCAGATCAGAGCAAAAATTATTCTTTAATAGTTTTAGCTGTTAAAGGTGGGCTTCTGACCTGACCAAACTACCACATACGATGGGACAACCTGGACGGATTTACAAGATCATCATTCTTGCCACACCTTCACACGTCCATATACTTTAGGTATTATACTATTATTTCTAGGGAAAAACCTGCATATCGGCCATGTCACTGTAGCATCTACTCGGCACGTGTTCGCTATCAAATTCAGCACCGCATTCTCGGTTGGTGCGCCCCCTTCATAGGCTCAGTGGTACGGTCCGCCTACTCGTTACGTCATGGCGTCTGACTTCGCAGGATAAATACAGCTGCTCTGCGCAATGAGGCTCAGAATACCGAGACGTTAGGGGGTGTCCTTTGAAGAGCTGGGAAAACCGCCGAGGCAGTGCCAGTAATACCGACTAAAGACGTTACCAACCCCGTAATTTAACGTTTTCGTACCAGTGGCAGCCGTTAACGATGATGAACGGACAGATGAATGGTTTTCATAACTCCCTCATTGACGAGGACTGCTTCTTGTTCACCTCGGAGTCCGTCGGGGAAGGACATCCCGGTAAGACGCGAGATGTCGGCCTTCTATCGTTCTGGCTGATGAAATAAGCTACATCTCTTGCTTTTTTTTTTATTTAATAGTTTGTCCCACAAACTAGCCTATTACTGTATTAAAATGAACAAATAGGGAGTGAAATGACAACATCGCGGCCCTTTTTTCCCTCTTCTTGTACCTTGGCCGGCTTCGAGACCACGCGCTACTAGCTGATGTAAGCTAGCTAATCTTAAGTGAATAGGTCATTCTGTCGCGTGTCTCCGCCACCGGCAGCAAATGTAGCACAATAGTCATAGTGGACATGATGACATTGTCATGTGAATTGTTTCTTATTTACAGTATCGTTATTCGTTTTAACTGGTTTATTTATTTTTCTCATCCTGCCATCCGTCCCTATTCATGAAGCACGCGGCTGTTTGTGTAGGTGACTCCTAACACAGTCGTCTTCATCCCTGAAGATGAAAATAGACTGTGCATTTTATCAGTCTGTCGATATGTAGTTGGTTCAAACATTTATAAGTGTACCGTGCTTGCCTTCCGGTCTCCGTGGAGTTGCGCGGGCTCTCTTTGACGCCACACGTGCGCATGCTGACATGGCGACCGCCGAGACTCCGGTCTATTCCTCTTGAGTATGAAGGGGGACAGTTTGCGCCGACGTGCGGCATTTTACGTTTAGACCCTGTGATGTGATCGATGTTGCCGTTTACTCACGTTTTTGTTTTTCAGACAAAATCTGTGACCAGATAAGCGATGCAGTTTTGGACGCCCATCTGAAGCAGGATCCAGATGCCAAAGTTGCATGTGGTAAGTAAATATTTCCTATCTTGTTTGCTTTGGCTTCACTCCTGTGTTGACACCAGGGTATTGAACTACATGTGAATTGCCTCATGCAGAGACCATTGCCAAGACTGGGATGATCCTACTGGCAGGTGAGATTACCTCACGGGCCACGGTGGATTACCAGAAAATTGTTCGTGACACCATCCGCCAAATTGGATATGACGACTCCTCCAAAGGTGTGCATTGCTTTACTGATTTTATTTCCCTTTTTTTTTTCTTCTTTTTTTCTGTAAGGACTGTTCTTAAACTCCTGTGTGTTCTGCCTAGGTTTTGACTACAAGACGTGCAATGTTCTTGTGGCGCTGGAGCAGCAGTCTCCTGACATTGCTCAGGGTGTTCACATTGATCGCAATGAGGAGGACATCGGAGCTGGGGATCAGGTTAGTATTGGCCTGAGTGTTCTGAAACCACAAATACAACATGTTGTCCTTTAACTGCTTTTTAAAACTATAATTGTCTCACTCTGCAGGGTTTGATGTTTGGATACGCCACTGATGAGACTGAGGAGTGCATGCCTCTCACAATCGTTCTTGCCCACAAGCTGAATGCCAAGATGGCTGAACTGCGCCGCAATGGCACCCTTCCATGGCTCCGACCAGACTCAAAGACACAGGTATTCATCATTTTATTTTCTAATTTTCACTAGCAAAATGGGTTGTTCTAAAAAGTTGCTCATTTTGTTTCTTTTCACAGGTTACTGTACAATACCGCCAGGACCGCGGTGCCATGCTGCCAGTGCGTGTGCACACTATTGTCATCTCTGTCCAGCACGATGAAGATATTTGCTTGGAGGAGATGAGAGATGCTCTGAAGGAGAAGGTCATCAAGGCGGTTGTTCCCTGCATTTACTTGGATGATGACACCATCTACCACCTGCAGCCCAGTGGTCGTTTTGTCATTGGAGGTCCACAGGTAAATACCTTTTCATGGCGTGTTTTGTTTATCGGGAGCTATTGAGCTTTGAGTTTACCTTGATTCCTTCATTGCAGGGAGATGCTGGCCTCACCGGACGTAAGATCATTGTAGACACTTACGGAGGCTGGGGAGCCCATGGTGGCGGAGCCTTCTCTGGGAAGGATTACACAAAGGTGGATCGCTCTGCTGCTTATGCGGCACGCTGGGTGGCCAAGTCCCTGGTGAAAGCTGAGCTTTGCAGGAGGGTGCTGGTCCAGGTGAGTGGTAGTGGTAGAAGCTGCGTTTCCACACGGCATGTTCAGAAACATTTTCTTTTTTTTAATATATTTTGTCCTATTGGGGTTCATCAGATTTGTGGGTAGCTGTGGTTTCACTGTGCTCTAAAAGCTGGGTGTAGATTAGTTCTTTTTTTTTTTTTTTTTTTTTTTTTTTTAAATCAGCTGAAGACTAATTTAAACCCCTAGCCCCATCTTCGAAAGGTTCATTTCCTGTGGTGGAAACACAGCCACCCCCCCCCCCCCCCCCCCCCCCCAAGTCTTTATTTCAGGGAGCAAGGCTGCAGCAGACTCCTGCCTGAAGTTTTCTGTTTTCCTGCTTGATATAACACATCTGTGTGCTGTATTAGGTGTCGTATGCCATTGGAGTTGCCCACCCCCTCTCGATTTCTATCTTCCACTTTTTGACCTCCCACAAGGGTGAGAGTGAACTGCTTGACATGAAGAAGAACTTTGATCTCTGGCCTAGAGTCATCATCAGGTAACCTTTGAAGCCACCTCCTCACTGATAGCACAGTTCCTGGAGGATTGCTGTATGTTAGTTTCTCCAATCTGTAGTTTATTATATCCAAATAAACTATATATAGATTATTAATTAGGGGGTGAGGTAATAAACAAATTGCATTAGGTTAAACACCTAAGCTTCAGTGGGGGCAAACAGCTTATTTAGTGGGGGGTCTTGTATTTGGATTATTTAGCTCAGTTAGTGGTTTTATAAATGGGAGGAGTTTGGTTTCTGCAAGCTGCAATGTCCTGTGGTTAGCAGGGTAAGTGTTGCGTCTTCACGTTCCTCTCTTTACCAGCCAGCCATCTAATTGATTTTTTTCGCTGTCGCCACTCCCCACTGGCTAATTCGAGTATTATGCCTGTGTGTGTGCATTTGAGGTCACTGGATGTGACTGCTGCTAAAGAGTCTGATTATGTATTCCAGGGATCTGGATCTGAAGAAACCCTTGTATCAGAGGACCGCAGCCTACGGCCACTTTGGCCGAGACTCCTTCCCTTGGGAGGTCCCCAAAAAACTCAAATACTAAACCTGTTAAGCTTTTACCCCCAGGCTTGTTGGTGTATACTACAGAGAAGCCTCCAAGGTTCCGGGGGTGAAATGCCCTTTTCTCTCATATTGGTACCATTTAACACATTAACCGCTTTCCTCACTCCACCTCCCTTCTTTTGTCTTGTTACTGTTTTTCTGCTGATTGCAGTATCGTGCTGGGTCCCAGGAGGCATGCCTCAGAAACTTGATGTTTTAAAGAACTAGATGAGTTCCATGAACTCATGCACCGTAGTACTTACTGTTCTCCCACGTCTTGAGGTTCCCCCCGCTTCGTATTGTGATGCGCTGAGTAGCGGCGTTCAGCCCTCATTTTTGGCATTCCACACTCATCACTATCGTCACTATCACTGTCATGGCGGTAGTATAATAGGCTTTATGTGATATTCCTCTTAATTTACTGGTGCTACTAATGAGTCTGCATGACATCTAAAAGAGAAAAATAATTTCAAAGTCCTCTCAAGTGCATATTTGGAGTCGTGTGATCTGGCTGTGTCCCCCTAAAATTGTTAGCTTCTCCATTCCTCCTGTTGTCAGCCTGGTACGGTTGTTCCTTGACCCCCAGTGTTCATTTATCCTTTTTGTTAGCTTGTTTTTTTTCCCCTCATCCTTGTGGAGGATGCTAGAATGGCACAATTTAAAATTCAAGGGTTGTTGCTGTTTTCACTATTTAAAAAAAAGAAAAGAAAAAAAGCTATGCATTGCAGGCTAAGGGGCAAGCCAAATCCTAATTATTCAAGCTCTTAAATGAGCATTAGGCCTCAGACACCCCTGCAGACCTTTGCTGTTTTCTGACGTAATACAGAAAAGTCAGAAGCTGCTGTCACTGCTCTGGTCTGCAGAGGTTTTGGTTATACTTGAAGGTTATGGGAAAAATTGAATTGCTTATGCATTGAAATTCAATTTTAAACTAGTCATTAAAAAAAAAACTAGTTACACTTGATTATTTTATTTAATTTTTTTTTGTAAGCTTTGAAGTGACCTAAAGACTCCATTTCCCTCAAGTGTATATAGATGGCAGGTGTAGCTACAGAGAAACCTGTTTCATCTTTGTCCTTAGAGGGGTGTGTTCTTTGCCACAGTCTTATTGGCTAGGAATTAAACCTCAACACTATTTATTTGTTCTCTGAAGCTCGGCGTGGATACAGAGAAGCCGAAATTTCAGAAGGCAGCTTTAAACAAACTTGGGTATTAGGTCTTGACTTTCTTGTGACGTGGTCATTTTGGTGTTTGGCTTGAGGCTCCAGAGTGTTGTACAGAAAAGCTTTGGACTGCCTCGGCAAGAAAGTGTCACTGGCTAATTGTAAATGACTATTTTACAACCCTTTTTTTTTTTTGGACTGCAGAACTTATTTTTTTAGGCAGGTTAGTTATCGAAAATCCCTTTTTTTTTTTTTTTAAAAATATCTGGTGCAATTATTTTTAATTTTTTTTTGGCTCAAGCCTATCCCCGTTACTGTGATGGCAACATTTGGTTGGTGTAGTACAGAGAAACCAGCCTTGTTTACATGTCCATCTCATGTGTGGGATAGAAGTTTTGGTTTTGGTCCCTTTTTTTTTTTTTTTTTTTACTACTTGGAGGTCATCCCGTTGGCTATAGTAAGTGTAAGAGTGCCTTTTCTATTTCCTCTGCTCCCCATTTGCTTTTCTCCCCACCACCAACATGCGTTCAACTTCCAAAGGAACACGTAGCTCATTCTGTATTAAACTTCATGTCTGGACTGGGTAGTTTCCTTCTCTGTAATAAACAACTACACCTCTCAAGTGTCTTTGCTTTTTTTATTTTTATTTTTATTACTTTATTTGGGGATGTAAAAAAAAAAAAAAAAAAAAAAAAAAAAAAAATTGCAACTGTGACATTTTAAGAATTGTGATGCAGGTTGACTCAGGCTCGGGGTCCAAAGGTGGTGCTGGAGTCTTGAAAATTCAGATTGCAGTACAATGTGGTTGTGGGTGGGGAGAAACCCTCCAAGATTAATGCTGATCATTAACATTGGTTTGAAAATCATACAAAATTAGAATGGGTTTATAAATAAACTGCAATCCTAATGGATACATGTAGGTCTCCAGTACACATTACCTCTTAATCACTTTGTTTAACTGTTTGGCATTCATCGTCAGGGTCACTGGTAAGGCTAGCATCACTTAACCGGGGGAACTAAAGGGGTTTCAGAGCCACTGGACCAGTTTCAGCCCTGAGCAATGTTCACTGCGGTCTTTTGATTTGTTACTAGCAGCTGTCAGAACAAGATAAAAGGTTATTTTCATGTGACTTGGAGCACAACCAACACCCTGGCTGAGCTTTTTAAGCTCAAATTGTAGCTGATAATTTGGTTATATGGTAGGTAGTGGGAATGGAGGAAGCTCCAAAGAGTAATTTGATCTGTGTACCCTCCCACCCTTCATGCACGCTACCAAGCAACAATGTGGTACCAGTTGTGGCAGGGCAGATAATACTAGGCACACCCAAAATGGTTTTGAGGGGGAAAAATACAAACATTTAAAGATAGTTTTAACAGTCAGGGCTGTACCAAGCAAAACTGACCTCATGTACACTCATCACGTTACGCTAATAGCTCCTTAAATTCTACATATTTCTGACAGAAAATCGAAGACTTTATACACACTGAGTCACATAAAAGCGAAGCCACTTGTACTGTTTCAAAACAGACTGAAAAACTTTGGGTATGCATACCTGTATAATAATAAAGATGGACAATAATGTGTCATGATCTGGTTACGGCAATAATGATGAATGAGGTTAAATAGCTGAGGTCAACCATCCAAAGCAATAAACAGTGAAGAAGACTGCAGGCAGGGTCTGCGGTAATGTGTGGCTGAAAGATGGCAGTGAAGGTTTACAAGATGGCTGGAAATCTGTGTGGACACGATTGGAAATAAATACACCAGATGGACAGCTCAGGTTGAGTGGTTTGGAGACAAAGGGAGGAAAAAAAAACTGCATACCTCCTGCTGCCTTAGCCTTTAACAAAGAAAAATGCGCAAGATAATTTGTGGTGTAAGTCTTCAGTTAAGTTCAGCTCATGTTCGGCAGTTACATAAGACACACGTAATGTATTCTAACCTGCCAGCCAGGTGTGTGCAACACCTGGCTGGCAAAAAGGGAGGAGCGGTCTTCACTTGTTTGTGTAACAAGTTCCAAAACTAACTGATTACAAAACCATGTTTTGGTTTCATTGCTTGGTGCTGGACTATTCATTCCAGCATGTTATTTAATGTAAGTGATCCTGTACACATAAAGAAATAACTCTTAAGTTAATAAAAGAGGTTTGCAATGTTGCGTTTTTTTTGGTTTTCATATCGCTTCCTCTTCCAAAGGGAAAGTTTAATACCTAAACTGTACACACTGAAAAAAATGAACGTGTAATGTAATTGACCTCTTACCTACTGAGTCAACATCCAAGAAGATCAGGAGATCCCACAGTTAAAGGTTGGGTTTATTGACGAGTAGTCAGTGATTGTGAAATCTGCGACACAGCTGGTTGGGTTTGTGTAGTGATTATACTTTTAAAAATCTTTATTCATTTACTTTTCTGCTCTTTCAAAATGCCTGTTCAGTTAATGATTTAACTAGAGAAATTCTAACATTGAGACCATTTTTGCTCTTTTAAAAACAGGGTCAGGTCATAACTACATTCTTCAGCACACTTTATTTAGGTTAAGAGTGATGTTCACATGTCACAGTGAACCTTGAATTGATAGCAGAACAGCTTGCTCTGTGACATGTCGACCATTTCCTTGCCCTTCAGTCAGTATACTTAGTACTCTGACACGTAATCACTGTAACTCAAGCCTAAACTTGGGAAACTATTGTAAATCAACACCCAAATAGTATAAAGGTAGCTGTAAGTGTAGGAAACGCACAAGGTGAAGATTAGTAGGGAAAGACCTGCAGATATAGGAACTAAGAATTTAAGATTGAAAGCATTTACAGAACCATCGACATTCTGTGTCTATACAAAGGCGATATTATCAGGAGCATAGCAATATTGTCAAATATCTAACTAGCCAGAAGCTTTTATATATAGGCATATTAACTCATGAAGAGCTTCACTTTTAAGTTATTAAGTTATGTTGGTTGTTGTGTTTTATGAGCTGCAGCTTTTTCACACAGACAACTTGTTTTGCTCATCTTCACCACTTAAGATTAGTGGTGAACTGTAAAATCCATTCATGAAATACAGTACAGTAAAAGAAATGTCATTAAGCACTCAACTCAACAAATTTGCAACCTCTAAATACATTATACATAATAATAATATTACACTTATACTTCCTCATCCTGGAAACATGATTAAACCTTGCAAGTCATATTTATGCTACTTTTAAATGATCAAAGTCCCCAAAACAAAGCATATCCCTCCAGAGCTATGACCTACCCTACGACCTACCAGCCAATGATTTCTGCAAATGCACATAATCTGCTAAAGAATTGCTTGAAGAGCATTAGAAAGGACCAAAGGCATTGATGGAGCCTCCAAACCTCCATATTCTGTTTTTGAGGATCTGCAGGATCAACACAAGATCCATAGAGACCAACAAACCAGCACCACACACCACAGGACACCTCAGATGGTCTCATTTCCATGCTGTTTTGGAGGCAAAAAGCTGAGTTCATAAATAAAAATCTGTTTATAAAGTTTAGGGTGCTTATATAGAGACTGTAAAGGGTACCGATTAAACAGATAATCAGTATTAACATGATAATTAGTACTAACGCGTCCATACAAAAGGCTTCTTTAAAAAGGCTAAAAAATGCTGCCACCATCAAACATGTCTTTAAGTAAATAAGTATATCAAAGGGAATATACAGTGTAAACCTTTGTCATTTGCCTAATTTGTGTCCAGTTGTACACCAAGTATAAGTCTGAGCACAGCTTATATCTGTGTTTGGCACTGAATGTTCTAAATAATCCACCTTACACTATAACCTGCCATTCAGACAAAATGCAACTTGATGGTAGCATGCATTTACCCAATTGTGTGATTTTTATTTATTATTTATTTTTTCACCGTTTCTTTGCATATGCTTTGGGTGAATTTGTTTGAACTTCAAAACTGTTAAAACATTGCGGTGTCTTAATGGACTGACTAATGGTTTGCTCGATACCTTCCAAATAAGTGATCGTAATGTGTCTGAAATGTAAAAACAAATCCATGGTTGTGTAAGTACCGTAATGAGCAATGACCCTGAAGCAAATTCCAAACACTGCGATTTGAGCTTCAAAGGGGAACATGTCCCACCCTTTCTTAACCGAAGATAATATTTCCAGTTACATCTCAGAACTCATCGGTCACTTTGAAAAGGTTGAGCACCCGTTTCAGCTACATTTGAAGTTGTTAACCAGAGCAAAGCTTACAACAAATTGATGAGATCATAGTAATGATTAATAAATCGATAAAATGACATAAGATCCCAATTTAGCAGTTTGAAAGGTTTGCACAGATATTTCTTTTATTATCAAACACCCATGAAACTTTATGATGTGATATTTTAGTCATTTGTACTGTTGGCATTCTGTTGTGAAACATGTCATTGTTAGCATGCAACACAAGGTAATATGTTAATTACAGTTTTGTAATGAAAGCAATAAAAAGGCCAAATATGGTCTGAGAAGATTCTGTTGTCATTCCTAATCACACCAGAATGTCGGACAAGTTCGGGCAGTTCACACAGCTCGCTGCCAAAAGGAAATGGCAAACAACTGTTAAGAAAAATATTTGCCTCCGGAGACAGGTGTATGCAAAGAATTTAGACTGAGCCGCTTAAAATGTTTAAAGTTTAAAGTGAGAAAGGGTAAATGCAACCAAATAAACAATAAAAATGTCCCTTTGTTTGTTTAACCTCCTAGGACCTGGCGTCCACATATGTGGAAATCACATTTTTGGTTGTCTAGACCGAAATACAAAATTTTGCTCGACAAGGGCCTGATATCCACTTATGAGGACATTATACTGCCTATTTTATCAAAATTTAAAACAAATGTCCTCATATGTGGCTCTCATCAGGTTAAAGAAAAAAAAATCTGCTGATTCTTTGTTTTTACATACATTGGGTCTCAATATGCACAAATATAAAAAAATAAATAAAAATGCATGCCATGGAAGAGTTCGAGTCTTAGGAGGTTAAAGGTTAAGTTTCATTTTTATTTTGAAAAGTTAACATAAAAAAATCACCTGCAGTTTAACCTGTCGATGACCTGCTGAGGGAACGTCACATTGAATGGAATATTATGCTGAGAACAGTTTTTCCTGTACTGAATGCTTCACTCCAAATCATGTAGATGTTTTATTGGCATAAAAGTCTGTGCAGACTGAGATCTAGTGAGTGTGATGCCATTTCAGTATAGGGAAGTGTCGTGTTACAAAAAAAACCAAAACAAAAAAACAGTTTAAAATGATAAGGGTTTAATGGACTGGTTCTTGTATGGAGCTTTTCTACTCTACTACGCACTATATACTACGACATCCCTCATTCAAACAATCAGTTTTTATTTGCTTTCTAGTTCATTCGCACACATTCACACTCCCATGATGGACCGCAACTTGGAGTTGAGCATCTTTTTCAAGGATACTTTGGCATGACTGTCAGCCAGGGATTGAAGCACCAACTTTTCAAGGTTCAAGGTTCTTTATTTGTCACATGCATAGTTATACAAGTATAACACACAGTGAAATGTAGCCTGACACGCTCCTCGACATGTGCACTTTTTGGTTAGTAGATGACCTGGTTAATCTCCTGAGATGATCTGAGTTTTGTGAGATGGCACGTTATCCTGGTGAAAGCAGCGATCAGAAGATGGGGACGCTATGGTCATAAAAGGATAGATATGGTCTCAACAATACTCAGGTAGGCCTCAGTTGGTACTAAGGAAATACACCCACACCATTACACCACCACCACCACCAGCCTGAACCACTTATACAGGCAGGATGGATCCATGCTGTCACGTTGTTACATTGAATTCTGACCATGCTTTTTGAATGTTGCAGCAGAAATCGAGACTCATCGAGGAGTTGAACAGGTATACCTAATGAAGTTGGGTGTGAGCATATTAATTTTTCTACTGCAAAGGTCAAACTTCAACTGAGAATTACTATACGCTGAGCAAGAGAAGCCTTACTGGAAATAACTTCTAGGAACCTCTCCCTTTCCCTTTTACGGAGGACTGGATGTACTTCTTGACTCTGAAATTTAGCCTTGCACATACAGTTACAGTCAAGTTCTGCTACTCGAGTAACATCACTAGACTTCTTGGACCCAAATTGTGGTTACTGGTCGTACTGCAGCAGCTGTGCATTTACACTACAGCGCTCGACAGCTAAGCATCTATATTTAGCCGAATGTTAGTAGAGGGGAGCTCATACTTGAACAGCCTTGAATGGGCAAGAAGACTCACCACGGTAACAGCACCATGGTACCAACAGAGGCTGTTGCAACTGAAAAGCACTGAGAACTAATTAAAGGAAAAAGGCTTGGAAGCTTGTTTTTCAAGAACAATGCACCACACACACACACTAAGCAGATCTTTTTTCTTATGTAGCAACGTGCTGATAAAGCTTTAGCCTTTTATTGGTGGTTGACTTAAGCATGCTGCAAGTGGAATACAGTCATAGTGAGAAGGGCAGAGGCAGGTCAGCTGTTTAGTTGAGGTCACTGGCATTCACTGTCAGGATTAGATGACAGCTGATACAATATCTGTATGTGTTTGCTGTTGCTCTACTGTACTTTTGCAGAAAACTGGACTTCCTCCTCCAACTTTTCTGCATAAGATGTTCGCCTTAATTTAGCTTTAAACCGTTAACAAAGGGCGAAATAAAATGTGAACTTGCAAACCACAAGGGAACTCAAGAGTGCTTTGTTTTTTAGTTACACATTTATAGATGAGGCTTTTGTAACACATTTGTTTTTAAAACGAAAATGCATCGTCAGCTAGCAGTTCGTTTTTTTTGTCACAGTATGTATTTCATGATTTGGCTGTTTAGAAAGACAGGTTATCTTCACAGTATCTTATACCGACAAAGTGCAGTTACAAAGGTACAGCAGATAACAAGGTAACTGTGAATCAAACTGAGTCATTGTCAGTTCCAAAGTTGTGCAATTGTGTTTTTGGGGGTGGTTGGAAGTTCTTTCGAAGTGTTATGACGTTGAGATTAAGTAACCCAGCCTCAATTCTCTGATCTGTTGTATAACATCCGTCTCCGAGACTGCTCCATTTGGTTGAGAAAAGTTCCCAAGCCAAATGCTAAACCTCAAATGCTGATCTCATTACAAATTTCAAGATGCGTTTTATTATAGTATATGATGGTATAAAGTTGGATTTCTATTTAGTTACAAGAACATCAAAAGCAAGAAAAAAAGAAGAGAAATTCAGACGCATGGTCAGGTGATGTGGCTCGAGGGTCTCGCTGTAATGATTTAGCCGGCAAAGTAAACAGAACTCTAAACTCCCCAAACATTGAGGGGTCAGATATTGGATGCTAGGTTTGACAATAGTGCTCTTGTTGACAATATTTCAGTTCAAGTGTTTAGTACTTCAGTAAATAAATCAAGACAAACAATGTGATGTAGGCCCTGATAGTAGAGAAGCTGAATGGCTGACTGATTTTGACATTGGGTCAGTATGTTTGTTAGTGGAGTGTATGAACATCTACTGTATGTAAAAAATAAAGACAATACAAACTTGCACATTCTTGCAAATAGAAACTGTATGTTTATGGTTTCTGGATTTTTCTTAATTTGTCTTTTTTTTTTTTTTTATAATACAGCAGTGGATGGGAAAAGAGTCTAACCAGTGCTTTTTACCACAATGGCTAACCAATTGGTGCTTTGCTAAACTGCATAATTTCACCCCTTAAAAGCTTTTCACAGGCAGAATTAACGTACGGAAGAAAAGGTTTTGAGTTACATAATTTCTAATGATAAGCTACACTAAGGGTCGGGTATTGAATTGTGAGCTGTGATTGGGCCATTTCAGCCAACTGGAAATCTGTGTAACTTTAGATAATCTGCTGAGCAGCAGGGAATGTGTCTCCCTCCTTCAGTCACATGCTGCTTAAGAAATGAAAGCAAGCTGGAGGAGGGCGTTGACGGCATGAAGGGGAGTGTTTCGGTTCAGCCAATCAATTTGCACAGCCCACTCCTTGACAAGGCTTTGTGTAATATTTGGCCCGCCCTGTGATCAGAGGATGAAGTTTGCATATCTTCATACGTCAATAAAAACAATGTAGTAATCTCCCACTATGGCGTGGCTCAACAGTTTATCTGTCTAAATGTCAAGTCAGTTTTGTATTTTTCCATAGCCAGGGAAGTGGAGCTTCCCATTTTCATTTTCGAGTTTGATAGGAGACAGACATTTTAACATGTGCATGCTATCGGCCTTTTAGGGGGACGGACCTTTTTTTCCTCGTTTTTTCTTGAATAACTGATAGACATCCGTTTTAAAATGAATCCTGTCGTAGCTGTCAGGTAGGGTCTTACGAATCATAGGAATTTGACTTGAGGCATTTTCACAATACATCACTAGCGAGTTCCAGCTTGCTTGGTTAAGTCAAAGTAGAAAAACAAATCATAAACTACTGCTCCAGGTAAAAAGGTGGGGAAAGAAATAACATAATAGTGGGAAAAAAGTTATACAAAAATCACAATTGCTTAAATAATATGAGAACAGGTACAACTTCACACAAACTAATCACTCCTTTTGGTCACAAGATGAACATCTGCTTTGTCACAGAAAACTCAAGTTCATATTTTAGAGCTCTGCATAGCAAAATATAAAACTGCCACTTGAAATCTGAACTCTACAAATTAAGAGTTTTTCCTGTGTATAGGAGGCTATATATTGTTGGACAAGCAGCCCCAATGAGATGAGATTTCTGACAAAGCAGAGGACAGAAGCTCTGACTGAGGTGCACAAAGATCCTGAAATGGATACAAACCTAAGGTGCTACTCCATGTACAGCAACTTGCCACCTAATTCTTCATAGCCCCTCAGAGGGGGAAATATTAGAACAATTCAAAGTGCCCTTTTTATGGAAACTAAACTGTTTAGTAGGTCTCTGTAGAAAAATGCATTCTTTATACAGAAGTACAGAGTAAAACCTGATTTAAACAGAAGGAAAACTACAGCAGAGGTCTGTGTGGTTATATGACTGATGCTGCCACCTGCTGAAAATGTGATGTGAAACATTTGTCAAATCAAAGTGATGCCGTATTTTTCTATGTTCCAGTATTATATTCATGTTTAAAATCAGAATCTCTGTCATATAAGATGATAAGGAAAAAAAAAAGAAGTGGTGCTCAGCACCATAAAACTGGACAGCAATGCATGGCTTTTATACATTTTATATGTAAAGTGTCATTCTCAAAAAGATATTACAGTATCAAAAATAAGCCTCTCAACAATCCAAAATAAATCAGAGCACTGAAACCTACAGAACAGTTACCAACCCAACATCTACTAAACTCGGACTTCAAAACTAATTTCCCTCATTTCTTAAACACAGGATTGCTGACAGACCGATGATCAGCTTAAAACACTTCGCACAAAGAGTTCAAATCTTAATTTAACAAAACAGAATCTTTGTAAACACAAGAATCACAGGACATGGAGGACAACACTTTTAGGACTCTGTGCTGAAGAGTACCTGCTCTTTCTAAATGTAACTATTAAAAAAAAGTAACAATTTTAAAAATGTCCAGTCAACTTAAATGTGTCCTCAATATGTGAATCAGAGAATAACACAACTGTCCAAGGTCAAGAATTGCAATTAAACCTGAAAACAACTCCCAGCCATAAACTGTGCTCTTCCTTCTTGCGAAAAAAAAAGGCCTGAATACAAGTCTCCATGTTAGATCTCTGCTGACAGTCACTCTAAATGATCCTTCTTATACCCTTAATGCACAAGAGTGCTCTGGAGGAGTGCAGAACTGCAAACGAAGCATTACTCCTCTGTGTGTGGAGCTCCTTTATGGTCGTAATCTGTTGATTGCTCAGCGTTTGTCTCGCCTTTTATCAATTTCCTTTCGAATTCGAACCTTCAGAGCTGCCCGCATGGCTGCATCCAGGATGTTCTTCTCTGCAACACGTTCTACCACCTTCTCAGGCTTGTCTTCCTTCAGAAACAGAGGGCATTTAAAGGAATTACACACACAGGAAATGACCAAAGAGCTGAAAACACCATAAAAAGAAATCGGCATTAACCTTGTGCACAAGGATGGATGTAATGGTACCAGAATCTGCTTCATATTCAAGCCAAAAGAGTTCAGTCCCACTGGCGTCAGTCTCTGTGCTTGATCCACTCTCGTTTTCTTCAGCATCAGCACCGGCCCCTGGCTCTGAACCATCTGAACAATGAGCGCACACACACACACACACACACACACACACACACACACACACACACACACACACACACACACACACACACACATTATCTTCCCGCTAATGGGTGCACAATCAGCACAAAAGTCAAGAGAAAGCACATCAGTCTTACGTCTTCTTCGAGGATGGTACACTTGCATGTCAGGTCGACGGGGTCTTCGAGGGGTTGTGGTGTGTCTCCGCCGCTGAAGCTCTTTGGCTTGCTTCACTTCTTTATCATAGTCATCTCTGGAGAAAGGGAATCAAAATTTTGTTAATGCAGAAAATATGACAACTTGGTTGTTCCATGGCATATGAATAAATAAATAATAAAAATAAAACCTAAATCAAGAACATGTAATAAACAATTTTTTCATTCAAAAAGAAAGAAAAGAAAAGATTAAGCCTCAGAAATATTTTTAACTCTTCCCTGTGATGCTCTCATTTTCATCTTACTGTTAATTTTACCTGGCTTTTTTTTTAATTACATGAAATTAATGCTAAAACAGCAGAATGAAACAACCGCATTTAGTAATAACCTGTCATGTGGACTACTATCAAAGTCACAGATTGCAGAATTCTCCATTTATTCAAACCCAAGCATTAATGGAGTAACACTGTTTTTTTAATTGTGATTTTTGACTTGACTAACCACTGTATACAGAGGTCACCTTTTAAATAAAATTGAAAGACACTGACAGCAAAATTCCCCTTTTTACCAGTCAGCCAGTCTTCAGCCAGTATTGAGAAGCTTAAATACAGGCTTGCAATGTAATTTGGGGATTTTCTTTGAACAGTCTTTTTGTGTGTGAAATGATTCATGGAGATGATATCCATGCCTACATATGCATGTATGTAAATTTCTAACAGTTTGTTGTATAGTTCAGAAAATGCATTATGAAAGTAGGTCGTTCCTATGTAAATTTGGCACAAAAAGTAAGGTCCATTATTTCTTTCTTGTAACAATCCACCTTGCAAATAAATCTCATACCGTTGGAAGCCTTTTTATTTGCCCTTCAGTAGTCCCACATTTCTAAGGAAAATGCATTTTTCCTAACATATGCATTGAATGATCAGCAGAGGTGAGTATGGGGGTTTTGCCATGAAAAACCTGCTAAATCTTCTCAATACCAAACAGCCTATTCTGCTATTGACTCTTGTTTGGTGTTGTCTACTGAACTAGATGATTTAGGTCTTAAATTTTTTTTTAGCAATTTTTTAATCCAAGAAATATGGGGCTATGCATGCAGCAGTAACCATACGCAGCCTCAACAGCTTGGCATCTTCTACGCTGGTCACCGGTTTGGTCCACATCCAAGCTGATCACATAACTGTTCAACAGGGTCAGGACTTCAGGTAGGACATTCCATCCTCTTCACTCCCAAAGACCGGAGCTGAGGTGGTCTGCTCTGTTGTGGTGACCACCATTTGCAGAATCTCATCTCAATATCTCTTGCCTTGAGATTGGCTCAAATTTTGGCAAGCCTCGTTTTTCCACCAAAGGAGATGCTGCCCCACGTTATAACACTACCTCCACCAAAAGCTGCTACCCTATCAGTGCAGCAATCATCACAGTGTCCCAGTGCACATGTTGCCAACAGCAGCGCAAATTTGCCTGATGGTGAACAGCAGTCATGGCAAGCCTCCTGGCAGCCCTATGACCCTGGAGATTGGCCTTGGGAGTCTGGTCTGGATTTTCTGGGTAGAGCGCAGTCAGTCATACTGTTCTGCAAACCTTGACTGAAAATCTACAGAAGTCTGACTTCTGTTCCAAAGTGCTGACAGGGTGAAGAAACAGTCTTCTTATTGTGTCGTCTTCTTGGGATTCCCATTTCGTCGCCTGTCTGACATCCTGCGTCAAATAGAACTTGGCCCTTAATTTGGATAAGGTACTTGAAGTTGCCCTATTGGCACGTACCCTGTAAGGTCCACGATAACAGGTGGTGCTAATCCGGCAACAACCAGACACCTGACTGTCTGTATCCGGGGTACTAGAATCTCAAAACAAGAGTCAGTAGCAGAAAGAAACTGTTTAGGATTCACAGAGAAGATTTGCCAGGTTTTTTCATGGGCACATCCCACAAGTGGCACAATTTAAGAGGACATAAACAGACTTTACAGTGAAATATCACTTATTTTCAAAAGCCAAATACAGATTTTCCTTACCTTTTGTGCCAAGTTTACTTGCTATACTGAAATGCATTTCAAAGAAACCTACAAACAAAAACATTATAGAAGTGAAGTGATGTGTTTAATTGCTTTCCTAGTATTTTTTGGGGTCTGTCGTGTTTTCTGTCAAAAACAAGTTAAAAATGACCCCCCTTTTCACAGATGCACGCACTGACTGAACTCAGTTTTTTTCAGTATGCAGTTGTTCATCATTTTGCTTCTCAGCATCTTAAATCAAAACGAACTGGTCACCAGGCCTCTGCGACCTCCCCATATATTTTAGCTCCGAATGTAAAAGCGTGTATGTTAATAACAAGATAACATTCACTTAATCATAAAATTACTTTTCACTACTAATAACAACGATTATGTTTTTAGCTGAATGACCTATTGCACTAGCATACGCTAATAGCAGCTGAGGAACTCGCCTAGCAATCTGGTTCCTCCGGATATGGTGCAGGAAGCCGTGGCTCATATCCAAGCGGCCACCTGGTTTGTATTTCAGCTCGTGGACCCCCTCTTCTCTTAAAACATCCATTTCAGCAAACCGCTTCCAAACAAAGTCAGTATTTAAGCACTACTGATTGCAACAAGTCCCAATCAGAGCACTGTGAACGGTCAAAAAGCTATATAGCTACGGCTAACTAACGATAACATGTTGTCCAATTATAATGCTCCCTGAGTTAATAAAAATGTTATAACTAAATTGCACACCATAAACAAATACCCATACATGACAAACCTTTATATATATATTATATATATATATATAAAAGACAAACAAAGGTCCAGTTAAAGTTTAGAAGTTAGGCAAGTTATTATATTAGTTTTTGGTAAGTGATTAACAGCGTGTATAGCGTTAGTAGGTTTTTAAACTCCGGGTTAGGTTTTAGTTTGCTGCTCCACGGCTACAACGCACAATCGCCGCGAGTTTCGAGGCGCACCGTGTTTGACCCATTCATCACTCCCTCCAAATAACGTAAAGTTTTAGCTTCTCCATTGTTTTGACGCCGTCTCTCTGCTGCTATGGTTTCTTTGAAGCGTGAAAGAGAGGTGGATTTAGATGATGATGACAATGAAGACGGAGGTAAGTATGTTCCTCAAACGTATGCCCTGCGTTTGGTTAGCAGTTAGCGTTGTTGTTAGCCAGTGGTGTGTTCGTTTTTTTTTACTGGCCTGTCCAGTAACGTATAGACGGATCAATAAGTGTCTCCACTGTGTGCTAAAAACAACGATACCCATCATCTTAAAGCACCCAGTGTTTGAAAACAAGCATACCTCACAACATTAAAGCTAAGCTAGTTAGCATGTTTAGCTCATTGCTTTGAAATGTTGGTACATGGTTTGGCTTGACATTTGTTCTTGGGCCACTTCACGTTGCAGTGGCAGCCAAAGTGGGACGAGGACATGCAGTAGAAGACCGAAGAAGCCGCCACTGTCCTTACCTTGACACCATAAACAGGTAGGCCGGAGTAGACTGTGTATTGCTATTAAAGCTGTATTCCACCTCTGCAGGTGAATTCACGTCTGTCAATCCTGCAGGAGTGTGCTGGACTTCGACTTTGAGAAACTCTGCTCCATCTCTCTCTCCCACATCAATGTCTACGCCTGCCTTATATGTGGGAAATACTTTCAAGGTAGGCAAATTGACATTTTAACTGGGGATCAGAGACCCTGTTGTATTTGTACTGATTTGTGTGGGTTTTGTTTTGTTTTTTGTAGGAAGAGGTCTGAAGTCTCACGCGTACACTCACAGCGTACAGTTTACCCATCATGTGTTCCTCAATCTGCATACACTCAAGTTTTACTGTCTGCCAGATAACTATGAGATCATTGATTCATCACTAGAAGATATCACAGTAAGTAAAGTAATGTTTTTCATACTAAAACTAAAATTCATGTAATCTCACTGGCCACTTTATAGGGTACACCTTATTACTACAGGTTTGGACTCCTTTTACCTTCAGAGCTTGCTTATTAATTCTTCATGGCAGAAATTCAACAAGGTGATTGAAAATTCCTCAGAGAAATTGGTCCATTTTGACATGATAGTGTCAGACAGTTGCTGCAGATTTGTCAGCTGCACATCCATGATGTGTGGCTCCTGTTTCATCACATCCCATTGCTTTGAAATCTGGTGACTGGAGGCAATTTGAGCATTTAAACTCACTGGACCGTATTCACTTATCTCTGTGATCAGGATAGACAGCATTAGCTACACCAGAGGGACAGCTCAGGTTGAGCAGTTTAGAGGTGAAGTTAGAGACAAGTCTGAGGGAGGTTTGGACATGTGCAGAGGAGGGATAAGGCATATACTGGGCTGTAATGAGAAGAGGTGAAATTGAGGCAGATGATCCGCTGTGATGCCACCTAATAGGAGCAGCCGAAAGAAGAAAAAGAATCTACAGTGTAAATATATATCTATGCTAAAGGTTAAATTACATTCAAAATATTTTGACTTTAGTGACTTTTTTTTAAGCTGAATTGAGTGAATAAATATCTTCCAGTCTGAATTGTGACTGGATTGACTGAAGAAGCACCAGTGTTTTCAGTCTGATATGATACTAACCATGTTCTGTTTGATTTTGTCATTATTTCTGAGCTCTGGCTTTGGAAGAGTTACCACAAACAGCTGATTTGCTTACATGCAGCAGACTGTGACAGCACTGAGCAGCTCCTTCAGTGGGAGACTGCGGCACCCACGGTGTGGGACGGAGAGATTTCGCAGGTCTTTCCTCCCCACTGCTGTCAGACTCCATAATAAAGACTTTAACTGATCAAGCAAACACATCCATACATATGCAATAATACTAAGTGCAATAATCCTTTCTGTCATCGTTGTATTTTTACTCAGTTGTATATAGTATTTGTATTTGTATTCTATTTTTATCTTATTGTATATTTATTTTATTTTATTCTACTGTATATAGTATTTTATTTTATTCTATTCTGTACAGTTGTGTACTGTATTTATTCTTATTGTATTCTAATTTTTGCCTCATAACTTTTGCACTGTCCACTTCCTGCTGTGACAAAACAAATTTCCCACGTGTGGGACTAATAAAGGTTATCTTATCTTATCTTATCTTATTTCTTCTCTCTACAGTACGTGCTGAAGCCAACTTTCACCAAGCAGCACATTGCGGGGCTGGACAAGCAGGGTAAACTGTACAGAGCCTATGACGGTACCACCTACTTACCGGGCATTGTAGGGCTCAACAACATCAAAGCCAATGACTATGCCAATGTGGTGTTACAGGTATGGATATCTACCACTCTAGATTTTATTAATTGTTGTACATTTTTTGAATAATATCCTCCCTTCTCATTTGTGTCTCTCTTTTCAAGGCTTTTTCTAATGTTCCACCTTTGCGAAATTACTTCCTGGAGGAGGAAAACTACAGAGGAATCCGCAGGCCCCCGGGAGACATCATGTTTCTCTTGGTGCAGAGGTTTGGTGAGCTGATGCGCAAACTTTGGAATCCAAGAAACTTTAAGGCCCATGTGTCGCCCCACGAGATGTTGCAGGCTGTAGTGTTGTGCAGCAAGAAGAACTTCCAGATTACAAAGCAAGGTATTGCTTTACATTCACTAAGTTGTACTTTCTGGGCTTAGGTAGGCTTTCAATACAGGTTTTGGTGCTAATTGATTGTTTTCTGTTCTGCAGGTGATGCTGTGGACTTCATGACGTGGTTCTTAAATGCCCTGCATGGTGCTCTTGGAGGCACAAAGAAGAAGCCATGTAAGTGGGAAAAAAATTGGATTTGACTCTTAAGTTTGGTTCTAATGCAGTAGTGCATCTTTAGCCTTCTGTTGTGATATTAAAAGCATCTTAAGGACTTTAAGGGTTAATTTAATTTGTATTTTTTTGATTCTCAAACCTTGGGTTTCATACAGAATCTGCAGTCTCTGCACAAAATCATATTGTGACTGTGCAGTGTGATGGACAAGCTCCGTGGACTATGACGTTTGCAGATGACATTGTTACTTGTAGTGAGAATGTAGAGCAGGTGGAAGAGATCACTTCGACGGTTCACCTCATTATGAAGCCACTAAACCTCCCTTTTCTTGCCCTTCTCCCCTCATAGCAATCATTACAAAAGCATTTCAAGGCTACATGCGGATCTTCTCCAAAAAACTCCCACACCCAGATTTGGTGAGTTTCTTGCTTGTGTTATAAGATAATTGTTTAACATATGGACCTGAATAAGTTTAGTAATAGAAAAACTTGACTTTATTTGTTACTTATTCAAATTCTTTTTAAGTTCTGCACTATTTAAGATTCAGTTCTTCTAAGAGTCCAATAGCATTTTACTATGTATTCTGTGAAAGTATATAACTCATTTCCTGTGAATTGAGTTGTTTATGTTTTGATGACTTTGATTTTTAAAATCTTACAGCCGCCAGAGGAAAAAGAGGCTCTGCTTACAACAGATGAGTATCAGGAGCAGATGTCTGAGTCTTCCTTTCTGTTTCTGACCCTTGACCTCCCAACTGCTCCACTGTACAAGGATGAAAAAGAGCAGCTTATAATCCCTCAGGTCCCTCTCTTTAACATCCTGGCCAAGTTCAATGGCAGCACAGAGAAGGTACCGATTCATTTTAATCCTACTGGCTTTGATAATCACTCTCACAAAGTAAAAGAGCTTGCAAATACTGCCATGTCAATATCGCAGTGGAGTGATCTGTACTACTGATGGCTGTGCAGTAATATAAAGTAGAAAGTGCAAAATTGAACTAAAGGTGTCAACACTAGGTGACAGTGTTTTATCAGAAACGGTTAATGTAGCTGACACAACTACAGCCTATATCTTCCTCTCTCCTCCACTGTGCTTGCACCGATGTGGAGAACAGCTGCGCACCTCTTGAGTTTGTGCCACACACTTAGTGTCAGAATGAAGGAAGTGCGCTGCGTATATCAAGCGCAGCATTATGCCCTCTAACATCCATGACGTAGCCACTGGGTTTAACAACTTTTATTGCAGAAAACCTGCAGTGATACAAAAGTTTGCATTGAAACTTAGGTTTTTACAGTCTATAAGCATTATTAGCTTTTCCGTTAATATCCACGAACTGGATATGTGGTGCAAAGCTTAGACATGTTTGTCTTGTTTTGCTCCTGGTTATTATTGCTTTGGTTCTTTGCAACCAAGCGTGATTTCTGTCTAGCATCATGAGAAGTTTCACCTTTCAGGCTGTTCTCTAGAATCCCTTTCCTTCCACGTCTGCCTCTACATCGACATTTCTCCTCAGGGCAGTCCTCGATGCTACAGCTAATGGCCATTCAGTCATGTGGTACAAATTGGTGTTGCATAAAAGTCCACTTAATTTGATTCAAAACAATCTCTTCCTCCAAAAAAAGAAAGAAAAATCTGTTGATAACATTAATTTTGAAAGGGTGTCTATTTTAATTGAAATTAGAGCATTTAAAGCTTAGTGTTACTTAGATGTGAGTTCTATTAATAATTGAACACTGAGAACAAATCTGTGTATTTTCCCTTAATTATAGGAATACAAAACCTACAAAGAGAATTTTCTCAAAAGGTTCCAGTTGACCAAACTGCCTCCGTACCTCATCTTTTGCATCAAAAGATTCACCAAGAACAACTTCTTTGTGGAAAAGAACCCC